TGATTTGGAACACTTTGCGCGTTGCGTTGTCGATAGCCACAACACAACCTATATAGTTATCGCCTTTTCGTCGCACTGACGTCTTGTCGCTTGGCTTATAAGCCAATCCTTTGCTTTGAGCGACATCGCGACAACACGCCACGCGACAACGCGACGTTTGGCGTGCTTCGCTAGCTACAAGACGGCGCACAAAAACGTTCCAAATCAGCCACCATAGAAATCAACTTTATTTCTCAACGGGAATGATTTGGAGTGCGGGTAACTGATGCCTGCACTCCAGTTAACTTACTGTGCATGTATATGTATACGATTTAACTGTGACACTTTTTCAAACTGGCAGATGGCGGAAGTCTTTTGTAGAACATGGCCAAAGGAAATGCACTTTATGTAATCAAAATGATATTGCCGATGAATTCCACTATATGTTAAAATGCCCTTTCTTCTGTTTTAGTAGGAGAAGCCTAATTCCAAGTAAATATTTCAATCGACCGAACACACTAAAATTCAAAGAACTGATGCAGTAAGACCAAACTGTTAGTAATAAAGGAAGATACATGTATATTCCAAGTCTAAAGTACAACCAATGAAGTGACATCAATGTACACAATAAAGAGATTTGAATCTTGTGATTTCTAGTTTTTAGCAGACGGCTCTCCTAATATAACCCACATGGGTAACGTTAGGAAAGTCATTACTTGATAAATGTCATTACATCGGATGTCGGTTGACGTATATTAATAAAGTTACAATTTTAAAATTATTTCATTCTTGTTTGCAATGAGTTTTTTTTACAATAATTTTTAGATATGCCAAATTATGTGTTTTTGAACAGTGTGCAATAGACTGATGCTAATGACCGTCGGAAAGTTAACACTATACAAACACTTTAAAAACTAAACTTATTTAATTGTTTTATTCGAAAACAATCTTTCAATCTTGTCTAGAAATACCACTTCTGTAAATTTTCGTTTTATGTTGGCATGTAACATTCTGATTTAAAAAGTTAAGTTTAGCATATAAGATATAACTAAACACAATGTGACACAACTAAAACATAGGGATAATTTTATAATACAATTGTATTTGTTGATCAGTTTTCAAATTCATATGAAAGGGACATCACTGATTTTTTGACGTGATGAGCTTGGAAATAGTTTCTCGAGATTCATATCTCACTTGATGTAGGTCTAGACCAACAACTTGTGTACAAAAGTTCAGATCATTCACTCCGTCAATGTATTCTAATTGTGAAGAGGCATCCAAAATTGAAAAGCGTTGCGACGTTTTGCGACGTTTTTCAGTCAACTCGGGAAAAGAATAGCACAAAATATGATTTTTTTTATCCTTAAATCGATTGCTGCACAATATATCATAGAACATTATGTCTATAAAAAGAGACAAAAAAGAAGAAAACATATCCGTTTAAAACTGACATTTATTAAGTATCTTCTACTCTACTCGCAACTTATACTAAGGGTGGTTATATATGTGCCAAGTGAAACATAACCGTTAGGTCACAGTTATCTAGTAAAAATTGCAAAGTTTACTTCTATACATATTTAAAAACTGTCAACAAATATGTCAAAGCTTTTAGACCCGTTTTTGTGGGAGAGTAGCTTTAACTATGTGAAATTATAATCCTATGTTTCAGGCTTATTTGGACCTCAGTGGAGTTCCTTTTTGTTCATTTTTTTGTCATTTGTTTGCTCTTGTATTCAAAAATTATATAACCAAATTTACAAAATAGTGGGAACATAGTGCTAAGTATAAAATCATCAACTCCTAGGGAATGATTAATTCTCGAGTTTTAACATGTAAAATACATGTAAAAGGTTGCGTAAATCACATGAGATTAAGTGTTTCTTATTGCACTTTAATAATTAACTTAAATATACATAATAACAAAATACATTTACACCAGAAGAAAAGATTACATATCTTATTAAATTGATAAAACAATTACAGCAACGAGTCATATTATTTTGTTTTGTATATTAAATGTAATTAACCAAAAGAAAGAAAGAAATAAAACACGCACGCACGCACGCACGCACACACACACACGTGACTGGTTTACATACTCTATATTATTGTCCAATAAATGCCTTAATTTTTGTTGTTTACTTATGTTGTATTCCTATGGTAGCTCCGGGTAAAATTAATACACCTACATCACATGATTGGGTATTTAAATTTTCTGTTTGGCTTTCAAAATGACAATGGTGAATCAACAATTCCTTTCAGATCAATATCCGTATCCATATTTCTTATCTGAAAGAAGATACAATTGTAAAATATTCATATTAATTTGCAAAAAAAGATATAATTTCATAAATTTGTCTTATATTATTAGTTAAACAGATTTTTGAAATGGTATATATCTTACTGTATAAACGGTTGTTAGCTAATATAACTTTTATCGCTCGATGGCGGTCATATTGTAAAAATTAATATGATATTATAATTATATTAATATAAATTATACACGATCGTAAAACCTGTATAAGTTCTTCGTACCGGATTTATAATACAGCACGATTCCTTTGTTTGAGGAAAATATGCAAAAATCATAAAAAATAGAAGCAGCGTATATTGATAATCTAAAATTCAATGACAATCGACGTTAAGCTATGTCCTTGGCACACCATGGTGACAACAATGGCCAATATCCCACGGCGCAAAACGTTTCGAGCAAACTGGGATATCGTGGCTGACGGAACATAGTGTAAACGTACCACTACAAACGTTTGGTATATATTGTTACACTTGTGAGTAAACTAATATGGAACTTTTTATGCAGCTGGAGCTGGAGTTTAAAGTAATTTTATGAAAAAATGAGATTATAATCAACTTGAAATATATGATATTTAATTTTAAAATATTGTGTTTACATCTAAATATAGTAAAATGTACTCACTGGAAATGTAACGTGGGTATTTTCCATACTTGTTACCATATCCGCCAAATCTTCTATAACCTCCATAGCCTAAACCGCCATACATTGATCCATAACTGATTCCACCGTACGGATATCCATAGCCACCATACATAGAACCATAGCCAATTCCACCATATCCATAACCCATTCCTCCGTAACCTCCATAAAGGGAACCATAACCAAAGCGTGGATATCCATAACCCATACCATACATTGAACCATAACCTCTGTACATGCCGTGATGGCCATAATGTGCTGTGACTGTGGCGATGCCAACAACAGCCAACAATAAAACACTGAGGTACTTCATGGCTGAAATCTATAAACATAGTTATATTTCATATTAGATAGTTCGTGATAATAGGGAAATATTTTGCACTTTATCTGCACGTGACAATTATAACATTTGGTCGTTTGGATTGAAACTTAGGAAAATGATGAAAAAAGTAAAGAAAATATCGACATATTTTAAACAATAAAGAAATTATACTGAAGACATTAAATTCATTTGTTTAAAAGCATATATGGTTTAACTTTTGTTTCTTGAGATAATATTATGTAATAAACAAAATTTGTCTGTAACTTTCAATATACCAAACTATCATTTTCACCCATTGTTAACACTATACAAATATACAAAACATAAAATATTTAGAACTATAACAACAATAATACGCTATACATGAAGAAATAACACAAAGAAAAATTAACAGAAACATATGATAATATGAAAATATCACTGTCAAATCATTTAGTTAAATACTTGTTATTTGTAATAAAATATAAACAGCATTACCTTGTTTGAGTATTTGGTGTCTCTTGGATACAGAGAGAAGACTTCTGTTTGCACGAAAGATAAGCTGATGGCATATTTATACAAGTATCAGTTACCACAGAATGAGGAAATAAGTAATAAACATCCAAATACACCTTCATCAATCACGTCATACCTCAAACTCATTTTGAGGTAACAACTTACTCAGAAAATCTTGGTAATCAACTGAAAGAAGGTCTCACACTTCGTGTCAAGCGCCTTAGCTTTCATGCGTTGGTTAGATATATTGTCATCAATGTATATATGAGCCGCGTCATGACAAAACCAACATAATGGGTTTGCGACCAGCATGGATCCATACCAGCCTGCGCATCCGCGCAGTCTGATCAGGATCCATGATGTTCGTAACAAGTAGAGAAACTGATAGCGAACAGCATGGTTCCTGATCACACTGCGCGGATGCGCAGGCTGGATGGATCCATGCTGGTCGCAAACCCATTATGTTGGTTTTGTCATGACGCGGCTCATATATACATTGATGACAATATATCTAACCAACGCATGAAAGCTAAGGCGCTGGTCCATACTGGTCGCAAAGGCATTATGTTGGTTTTGTCATGACGCGGCTCAATTTATATTTTTCAAGTCACACCTCGTAAAATCTCCCAAAGACATTGTTTATGTGAGACCGTAATAACGTAACGTCATATCATAACGTATCTGCTTTTACGATACATGACTAACAATTTGATTATCTATAACGGTAATAAAGATAAACGTAGTAGTATTATAATGGTTTTCACGTATATAAACAAATTGTTTTTGTCTTAATTAGTAACCATCATTAGTTTTGGTTGGTGGATTATTGACAGTACCAGAAATACAATGCTCTAATTCATTTTCGTTTTTCCCCCTTTATTTCATCTTTTATTTTATTTCCTGTCGTTGTTTTGATAAAGTTGTTTCTGTTAATTCACAGATAATTTTATTTTGTTAGTCCACATTGCACTTTTAAAGTCATTATTTGTGTTTCAATACTTTGTTTTGTATATAAAAGATATCATTATAAACATCAACAATTGTTTGATAATAAAGAATAAGCTTTTTAATAATTCCGAGGCATTAGTAGTGTTAGAAAGTATAAATATTCACATTTATTTGTTCGTTCGTCGTTGTTTTTTTTTAATTTAGAGATAAATTAACATCAGTGATAACTAACATTATTACACCGATTAAAAGTAATTGTCTTGTTGCCTTTTTTATTAATTTTATAAATTTATATATAATACATATATTTCTAAATTATCCATCGCGGTAAATAATTGTATCAGGTGTAATCAGATTTTAGAACAGAACAGAACAGTACAGATATTTTATTTTAGACTTGTAAAATAAAGCAATTATCATATATCACGTGGTCATAAAAACAAAAATACAATATATAACTTAATCAAGTAAGACTAAAAACATTTGTTTATACAAAGATAATGATAAGATATGTTATGAGAACATAATCAGGTTATACGCGTGTGTCCTCTTATTTGTGTCTTATAGTACTATAATCCGAAGTTCAAGAGTTGTCGAGTTGTATCAGCTGTTGATATGATACACCTTATTACAACATGAATGTTTTATCAATCTTTTCAATGTTATCTGAAAGATTCACGCATCATAGAAAGATTTATTGTTTTAAAGGCACAGAATCTCTCAAAATCGAATATTGTTTTCTTCTTATTTAGAAAGGGTACACATGAGTTTTATGACATTAAAATAATGATTTTAGAGCATGTTAGATGTTTTATCACCTGATGAAAGTAGAAATGAGTATTAAATTTTTGTTATAAAAATAGCAAAGTGTAAACTAGGTAGTATTATGACTTCTATACAAAATACTTAATCACTTAATATGCACTTATTGCCAAAAAAAACAGAAGCAAAAGATGGTTCAGGTAATTGGCCAATGAGTAACGTTTTGAAAAATATAAAACAGGGCACCAAAACTTAAAGCTTTTGAGAAATGAAAATAAAAGCATTTCACGGGCATAATGGGCCTTTAAAGTTTGCTCTATCAAATGGTTTGGAATGTTTTATTCATTAATTTTCTAATTACATAATTATAGTCCTGTATATATGCGTGGTTACATGTACATGTAAATTTTATACTGTGTGAAAATACATAAACTTATTTTGAAAATTGTTTGTCGCATCATTACTTTTAGTGCTGGTTGGACATATTGTTTATAGACAGGCATCATTTTTCAAATGTCTACAAAATGACAGAATAATTTCTTGTCAAATCAAAAAAAATCTAGCAACAATTAAAGTTGTGTTGAGGGTGTAAAAAGTCGCCCGTATATTCAATAAGAGATTATATATTTTTTCTGATCCTTAAAGATCAATCGGCACGACATTATTGTTGTGTTTTTTGATATTATAGTTCATCTACTTGACCTTTCCTAAGAGGGGGTTGCGTTATTCCTACTGACATACTGTAGATACCCCTGTGTTGTGTGCTTTTTTTTCTAATTCTGTTGCACATGACGTTCTTTTTATGATATACAGGCTTCATAACCTCTGCTCCACTTTTTAAAATTCCATTTAATTTAGTTCCACACATTATTTTCTCGTTGAATGCAGACACATCTTTTAACATGAGGACCACAAACCGCTGTCTTATGGAATTATGGCACGAGCAACGCACAATGCAGGTTTCCTTAGCCGACGTATGAACACATTGCGGATGTATTCTGAATTCACCACCCTCTGAATTGTGTTTAGGCTGGTGCTGTGCGCGTTGATTTATCAAAACAGCCTGAAACTTTTCAATTGGTTTTTCTTTCGGGTGTTCGATTTTTAAGAATGCTAGCTATTTTTTACTGGCTAATTATAAGTTAATCCTTTCTCTTTGCACTCTTCTGTCAATGTGAATCAAAGAAGGCCGAGTATTGTGTTGCGCGGTTGTTCAGTTAAGCTACTGCTTAAGCAGGGGGAGATAATAACTCCGTGATTTACGCTGTATACTACCCGGATCATTCATTGAGTAAACTGAAAGTAGGACGACTGCATTATTTGCTCTAGTTTACATTAACAACGAATGGTTTATTTCAGCGTTTCTATTGGTTAGTGGCTGTCGGTCGATTTTACTATACTATATACATGTAGCACACGTGGGTCGAGGTTATAACTTTCCTATATCGTTCAGTGTAGAATTTTGTGTTAATTTTATATGAACAATTTTGAATTGAATTCTTATTTAGGAGATTTATAATATAAGGTATTATATTTTTATATATTTTAGCGTGTTTTTTGGCGTTTTAATATTTCTTTATTGATTTGTACATAGCAGACGACCAGTAGCGTTTCTGTGTATATTATACTGTAGGAGTGAAAATTATTTGAAGAATTTCTTCCTCAGATAAGCTCGGATCAATAGGAGTCTGTTTTACTGCTGACAAATAAAAATGATTCGTGAATTTCCTGCTCGTTTCCTTGTGTAGTATCGTCTCATAGAGGTGCTTGTCTGTAAAGAAGATTATAAGGTTAAGAATGGAATTCTTTGAATGTTGAAAAACGCACATTTTCGATTATTTATTTTGATGAGTAATTAGCATGACACTTAGGAAACCAATTTAATACAATGATGTATTTTAGTTTATTGATTACATTTTATTCACAATAATACATGTAGTTATAATATACAGATATATATACACATTAGTTGCTTCTATTTCTACATTATAATTATGTGTTATTGAAATCAGTTTGTTTGTATATATACTATAGATTCAAACATACTAGTGTGCGTTCACATGTCATTGTCTTATTACAACTTCAACTACATGAATGAGACTCAGAGTGATTTTGCAACACATTATTTTTAATACATTTATTTACAACAAACGCGACGTTATGTCTACATTGTTAGTTGTTTATGTATAAATGTGTATAAAATAGTTGACAAGGTTAGTCATTGCACGAGTATTATATAGAACTACTCGTGAATACGTCATGGCGAGAAAAAAACGCATGCATGAGTGAAATTTTTTCTCCATTAAGATCATATATGATTTATCTGATTTTAACATCGTGCAGTACACATTTAGTCAGTTGTGAACTATCTTTATTTGTCAATGAAGGCTTATTCTACTAACGAAAAAAATAAAATAATTGAAAGAAATTTTCGCTCGGATAGTTTACTAAAGCTAACATATTTGTACCAGGTATTTCAAGGTTATAAATGAGGCCTTTATATACCCTACATTTTCCATGTTTATAATCCATTGACAACCGGGTAAATATTTATTACAAAATGAACTTTTATCCAAAATTACAGCGACTAGACATCACATTCTTAAATACCGGTAAATGCACTAAGAAGATAGTGACAAACTGATATATTCGAATGTTAAACTTCTTAGATATATTTACGAACTTTGGACATCAATAAATATTTTTTTAATAAAAGAATGCATTTATTTAGTATTATTAAATAAAAAAAAAACAACAGAAAAAAAACAACAACAAAGTTACCGATGAGGCAGACGACACACTGTTGGTTGTGTGTCTGAAATTTAGGCCAGGTCAATGCTATCGCTCAAGTTGAATTACTTCTTGTTGAAAAGATATACTGTAGTTGAACTTCGCTTATTCAGGCTTTCACCTCTCAATTGACCTCTTGACTGACTGGTTTTCTCTATGTTGAGGAGAATTCCAGGAAATCGAAGACGCAAAGTGCAAAAGTGGCAGTAAGTTCACATCATTATTGATTAAGAAATGTGTGGTGGGGTAGTTTTAATCTGATTCTTATCTCCGGTGTTAAATCGTGTCGTTGTTATGTGTTTTATTTCAGGAAGTGTACTAGTCTTGTTCTTTTATGATATTGATTGATTGATCGACCATTTGGTTCTTAACTCACAATGGACTGGCCCTTTCTGTCAATATACCGAACCATCATTTCTGGGGAAATTTTCAAACATGTACTCGCTGACTGACGGAAATGCCGGGTGATCTGAGTCTGAGCCAGTCATTTGGGTAGAATCTGATGCCGACAGCAGGCTAACGGGTTGTGCAATGCAATTTCAAGCAAATCGATAAACGGTCGTTAAGTTAAATGATTGCGTTCGTTGTCAAGACGTATTTTTTCTTAAATTCTTTAGATAAACGGTCGAGCTTTTGAAGACGTGCTATTCAAAATTTTAATGTTTTCAACTCTTTATTAAGTAAACATGCAAACAATATACAGTATATAATTTAAAAGATACGGCGTGGAATGCTCTTTTCGTGTGTGTATAAAGCTTGCTAACTTAAGATCATCGTAAAAATATTTTACTACTAGAGGGCGTATTTGACGAAATTGACAAATCAAACATTTTTTTCTGGCCATATACTAGTATCTTGCGTTAATTTTAAACCAGTGCATTTCGCATAACGTTGCGATAACGTGTAGGTACATCGTACTTCTTGGTTAGTTGTGTGAATATCTTTAAAAGTTTTTCATTTTTTTTTGTTGAATTGAAATAACGTTCTAGAATGTCAGATTGCTATCGACTTATAAACTGATAAATGTAAGGTGACATTGTCTTTAAAGAATGTTATAATTTATCGAATATTAGTATTGAAAATGTTTTGTTTATGCATTTAGATCAATGTATTACCACATTATGTATGATTATGTATTATGTACAAGTCAAAAACAAATGTATCTTTAAAGTTTGACACGTGCATGATAAATTTGTGACAAACATTGTTCGTTTTTTCTGCGTTTTTATGTGAAAATCGTTTCGTTCTCAAACATATATATACATGAACATACATAGTATACCGGACGACCATACAGAGTATATCTACTGTTATTTCTTATAACATTTTAATAATAATAATGTAGAAACATTGTACTACACATGGGTTTAGAATGTTGTCGTTGTAAAACAATATCACACGTGCATTAACTCACCTTTATTCTGTAATTTATTACTAAAGTCGTGAAATTGGTAGCGAGAAGATTTTGTAACCTTAATAAAGTGATCATGACATTGTTTGGTGGTGGAATATCTTCTTACACTTATATCATATTATAAATGTATATTGGTGACACAATAGTTTTATTTAGACACAATTTCTCAGTAGCGAACATGTTTCATCCTTACAATACAAAACGTTTATGTTTATCAGCTTATATTTGCTTACAAAGATAAAAAGTATAAACATGTTTCACTTTTCCTCATTTTCCTTTGGGGTATTGCTATCTTGCTTTATGGGGAAAAAAATACGGAAATGCTCTTTGTGGTAATTTTGTGTACCTTTGTTCTACCAAATTCTCCTGCTATCAAATTGTCGATGGATTTATTACCAAAATACGAACATTTATAGCAGCCATCAATCAGGTCAAAATGTACACAGTCTGGCTGTTGATTTGTGACACAGGAATTGTATTGTCACCTGAAGAGAATTGCCTTTTAATCTATATGTTGTTTATCAAATACGGAAATAGATGATACTCTTGAAAAAGACCTCGGCGTGCTTTAAAATAATCGATTTGTTAAAAGCATGCCTCTCAGTAAGTCCAGTCTACTGGCATTGGATGGCTAATAATCAGTTTATAACGATCATATTTCGTAAAGGCAAATACTGCAATATGTTTATGTTGTTGATTTTTATTATTTAATAGGCATTCTCTTTTTTACACTGACAATAAGTGCTATTGGGTTAATGGAAGGTCTTCTGTAAGTGGGCTTTGTTTGTTTGTTTCTTTTTTCTTTTTCTTTTTTTCATTTTTTCGCTTTTATTATTTGTCATCTGTTAGCATGAAATGAACCTGTCATTCGAAGATTTAAAGAGGGCAAAAGAAATGAGGGTTACTGGAAAAACACCTTTAAAGCTGTTCGAAGTAGTTTATGTGTACATTGTATGTATATGTTTCTTTCAATATGTTTGAAATATTTGCAATTCTCTAAAAAACCGCTATCATTAAAGTATGTAGTTCTGGACAATTTGTTGGTCAACAATGTGGTCAAAATGTAGGGGTTTGGCTGTAGCAGCTCCGTATTTCACATTTGGGAAATTGTACACACTGGGATCAGCTTGATCAACTGATAATAAACATCTTTAGAGATATTTACCTAAGGATGATACAAATCTGAAAGCAAACATTCCTTTAATCCTAAATGCTTAAATGCCTTTTCACTTTATATGTGAAAAACGTGTGTTTCAGAAACGGACAAGTACATCAGTATACCTTTTTTCTGTCCACCTGAAGTAGCCACAATATTAATTTTATCAAGTAATCAAAGATTGTCTATTAATCAAGATATAACTCGACATCAAAATGCAAAGTAGGGGGGTCACCAGTATATTGTGGACATAATTATGATATCCAGGAGTTTTAATTGAATATAAATAAATGATAATCCCCTGATATGAATGTAAAATCTTTTAAATGTACATGCCTGCAACATGGTGATTTTTATATGTGATTTGGTGATGGATTAGGTATGAGCACTATTAGATGATAATATTACATATAATTATAGTCTTTATCATATACATGTAACTGAATGTGGGTGATTTTGTCGTGGTTTGGTCCAATTGTCCGTTCCCGCAATAAATAGGGTGCAGAGATGCACATGACCAGCTTCTTCCAGCACCAAACTTTAGGGTCTACATGACTTGAAATGACATGACTTTAAATCCCAACAGAAAAACGATGGTCAAGTGTTAAACATACCATTGAACTAGCCATGAGTGATAGGTGATGGATTCTTTCAAAAGTGATATGACAGCCAGACTTGCTTATAATATTTGTATTATTTTATTTATATCAAAGTCTAGCAATTGTAATACAAATATCAGCTGTGCATTCATGTGTACAGTGATAAATCAAATGGGCAATTACCTTGATATCATGAAGTAGTCGGTACACTACAGTGATCATACTGTGACACTGACATGATCATAGGTGATCAGGGACTGTCGACAGAGAGAATCAAAATTGGGAAAAAATAGAAATATTGAAGCTGAATAATACTCTAGTAGAGAAAATATATTTCAAGAAAATCAAACTTGTGAAAAATTTACTACTTTTTAAGAAAAGTAAAAAGATTAAAGATTCATGTAATGATTTACATATTATGGGCAATATATGACTGATTTTGCAGTATTTATCACCATATTTCTACTGAGTGACTAATCAGTATGGGCTATTTTTGCATATTTTGACTTTTTTTTTACTTTATGTTGATATGATGTATTATAATTTAAATGAAAAAACTCTATTTCTGCTATTTCTGCCATGCTCATTAAAGCTTAGTGTACTTGTACATGGAGTATTTTTTTAAATAAGATTATTGATAAAGTATTAACTATACAGACTAAATCTTAAAGTAGTTTGACACAGTTATTACCACCCAGCTAAACTTCATGCATGGTTGAATGAGTTCAAGGCTATTTTTCTATTCTATTGCATATTTTACTCTTTTGATGTTAATATTTATTGATTTCTAAGACAGTTTTTCTTTAAATAAGTCAATAGAGATTTAAGCTGTTTCTAACATGTATCAACAGGCAGGTATAGCTTTCATAAAAAATTTTTCAAATATTGACAGGGTTCATTAATAGAAGTTTAGCACTCTTGTGGGTCAGACAGGATTAAGTCTAAGGTGATATTTGGTTTAATCCTATACCAGGTATAATATAATATAATCTTTTTGACTGTGTATACGAGTATAAATAAATGTACTTTTATTTCTAGTATCAATAATTTTATATAAAAAGTAAATTCAGATTGACATATTTTATTTAATGTTACAGTATGAAATATTATTTTAATATATTAACTGACCTAATGTTATTTGATATACATTGCCTGCATAGATCTGAATTTTGACATATCCAATGAACCTTATTAACTTGTAAAGGTGGATTCTTTTAATTAAGGTATTTTTTTAGTTTGAATTTTGTAGACTATAATAAATTGTAACCAGTAAACATTGTTTTCCAATTTGAATGTACATATATCCTATTTAATTGTACATTTATCGAAAGGAATTAAAATCTAAGCTACAGAAATTGGAATTCAGCTGCATTACCAATCTTTGATTAAGTTATTAAACTGTATTACCAGTCTTAGGTTATTTCTGCAGTCATACAAAGTATTGATTTACAATAAATTTCTGGATTTTCTCTTTATTTTAATTTACTGTAATAATTAGATTTACAATCAACATTATGAATGATGTTTGTTATTGAACAATTGATCTCATATTTTATTAACAAAATGGTAATTGACTCTTATAATTCTTGGGCATAAGTGATTAATATTAGTCTAAATGTAAGTAAGTAGAAATAATATATACTCCCATAAATCACTCAATATCTGCAGACAGTTTTATATATTTGCTATAGCATAATATAAATGCTTATAAAAATTAATCAATGGTAATGTTTTAGGGATAAAAAAGTTTTCATAGCTCCCTGCCCCGTCTCCCCCAACTTAATATAATTGAACCATTTGTTCTTATGTCTGTACAAGGGATAACCTATTCAAGCAAGTTTGATATATCTTAATTTCCACCTCTACCAACAACTTTATTAAATAGTCTTTAATACACTTGACTCACCAATACGAAGTCCACGATCTTGGCAATATCTGTTGCATTGTTTTCCCTTTTTATAGCTGAGTCTGTTCTGGCATTATTAAAGTTGAGTGCATCTTGAGTTCACGATACATTAAGTTCACCTTTATGGTTGTAGCCTATTTTGGCATTATTAAATTTGAGTATATCTTAAGACTTCACGATACATTAAGTTCATCTATATGGTTATAGCCTGGTTTGGCATTATTAAATTTGAGTATATCTTAAGTTCACAATACATTTAGTTCATCTATATGGTTATAGCCTGGTTTGGCATTATTAAATTTGAGTATATCTTAAGTTCACGATACATTTAGTTCATCTATATGGTTATAGCCTGGTTTGGCATTATTAAATTTGAGTATATCTTAAGTTCACGATACATTTAGTTCATCTATATGGTTATATAGCCTGGTTTGGCATTATTAAATTTGAGTACATATCTTTAGTTCTACCTGTACTTATGGCTTCATACTGTACTCACTTACTTAAATTGAGTAAACCAAAAGAATACTTACCTATTGGTACATTGGTATTTAAAGACTCTGACATATAACATAGCTTTGTGGCAATCAATTTTATTGCCATTTATCTTCCCTTAATACATTTGGGTGTATGCATATTTTGTTAACTGAATCAAAGCAATGGCATGTCAATCAGATTTGTTTCTGAAAGGAACAAAAGTTCATGATATTTTTTAGTTATTTTACTTTGTCAAAATATTTTTCAGAGAAATCTTGCCTTCCTCAATACAAAGTGAGTTAGTAAACCTTTTTTGGGGAATTGGTTGAGTGTATATCAAACACTGGTTCTTGGTATATTATAACTCTGATTCTTAAGTATATTATAATATTGTTAAAATCTTAAGGACATGTTAAATGATTTACGACAGCAGTTTTCTTTTAAAGATAATTTACAGCTAGTGGCAGCTAGTGGCACTAAATCCCTTTTGTTAAAATCTTGGTTGTTGGTTGTAAAGCATATGTTTGGGACATCTTAATGTAGGTCATATATGGCTGAAGACCTTTGTTTGCCTTCACTTTTGTTACTTGATATTCTGTCTACACAATGTCAATGTTGACTTACATTCTTAACTGGCCATTGAAAATCATTGCTGTATAAAGTATTTGTTGTATTGTAGAACTATTATTGAACTTTTTACCTTTTGATGTCTTTATGTGTCAACTATACCTTAAAGGCCCATTAAGTTGATATTTTCAAAAATACTGAAGGGAATTGGCTGAAACTTTACAAACTTATTTTGTTCTCTCTGATAATCTAACTTGATGGGCACAGGTCCCATAACTTGGAGTTACCTTTTTATAAAGTTTAATGCACTTTTTCTTACTGTCAATCACGGAGAAAAGGAGAAAAGTCGAGCATACTGTCTTACATAAATGCTTGTTCATCATATGACACCAGTAATGAAGGTTACATAATTATTCAAAGGAAGTAGATTGTAGAGTAATATATTAAGTCACAAGCTTTCTTGATGCAGTCCAGCTTATTTCAAGTAAATAATAATGAATTTAAAAAAAAACAACTATACTAACATTCATATTTTATCACCATATCAGGGCAGGTAGATTTTACTGAAATCTAGATTCAGTGTTACACTTTCTGATGACTTTTAAGATTTATATGTAATAAAAAGTAGTTTAATACAGTCATTTTTCTATTAACTATATCATGTTATATTACACCAGGCCATCTTGTTTATGTTTGTGCTCAATGAAATATAGAATCACCTTATGAAATTTGAAACAAGGATGAACTTTAAAACTAAGATTAAGTTTTGATTTAGTCCATAAATTATATATTTTATGTCACGGTTCAGAACTGTTCACTATTTAGGGGAGAAGATGTGTAAGCGGCAGGATAGCTCAGTCGGTAGAGCCGCGGTACGTTATTCCGAGGGTCCGGGTTTGAGTCCCGGTCATGCTGCACATTTTTCTCACCCTGTGACATTTGGCGCCCAACGGGGGACCGTGACTGATATAGCTCAGAGTTTAATTTACATTGCTCTGTAACTCTGTGAAATTTGAGGACAAATTTCAATATAGCAGAGGAGTATGCCACGGTTCAGAACTGTTCACTATTTAGGGGAGAAGATGTGTAAGTGGCCGGATAGCTCAGTCGGTAGAGCCGCGGTACGGTATTCCGAGGATCCCAGGTTCGAGTCCCGGTCAGGCTGCACATTCTTCTCACCCTGTGACATTTATGTTTATAGTATTCTTTTTGTAAATATTTTAATTGTTTTACACAATCTAGTAATGTGACCAAGTTTTGCCTCTTATATTTTGTTGTTCATGTAAAAAGTAAAAAATCTTGTAAAATTGTCAAACCCTCCCCCAGTGTTTGAATTAATCATCATTTACCTGTACATTAAAAAGAAAATATAAAAGTCCACCTAGTGACATTTGCTTAATTGCTATTAATGTAGCTTTTACCTTGGTCTCTTTTGTGTACATGTATTTTTCATAGGTGTGAGAGATTATATTTAATAGTTGGTCATTTCTTAAGTTATTTCATTCTTTTTCATTAAAATCGTCACTGCTGTCTGCTGAAGATATTTTTTAAATTAAAAGTTAATTTGTAAATATAGTTCATAGTATTTCTGTAGTTCTAATTATCTTCTTTTTTTTATTTCAGAAAGATGGGTATACCAATAATATCACATTATTTAGATGAAATAGAGGATGCTGTAACAAAATATGGAGGTTTGTGATTATTTTTTGATAAATGGTAGAATGCTTTGAAATGTTAGAAATGATTATTTTGCAAAATTGATGTGAGCAAATGATCTAAAACAAGTTATTGCTATCTATAAACCAGTACATCAAATGGTGTAAATACAAAATGTATCTTAGAAAAACTATTTCAATCATGCTGGAGTCCCTTTGAAATTGAAGGATTGTAAAGTGATGAAAACTTAAGATTTATATTTTAAAATTTGTCTGGTACTTTAATAAAGGTAATGCTACCCCTATGAAATAAAACAGAAATTATCATTATCACTTGACAGCCTTATCAAACAAGGAAAATTTTATAAATTAAGAAATTTGATAAAACATAGGTAAACCATTACTGAAAACAAATTTTTTAAATCCATTTTAAACTTGACAAATTTTTATCCTTTAATATCTGTTACTTTATAATGTAGAGGTATTTAATTTTTTTCTAAGGACATTGTTATAATTATTTATAGAACCTTGAGATCATTACAGTGATATAACAATAACAATGTTATAATGTAATGAAACATAAACAATGAGAAGAATATCTAATATGCTCTACTTTGTTGTGGGAGTATTTGGCTATTTTTGGACCCTGTGAAACAGGGAAATAATATTAGTTAACTGCCTGGAGGTATTATGTTTGAAATACAATTACAACAGAAAAAATCTTTTGTACACATTTGAAAAAATACCTTTGTTAACATAATTTGAATAATGTAATGCCCAAGGTTGATATGTTATTTGTTACCTATTTCAGCATAATAGATATAGCATTACAAAATAAACAACCATTTTTGTTGAATGTTTCACTGTAAAGTTAAGGTCTTGCATAGGCAGTTTAATATTAACATAAGTGATATGAGCCGCGTCACGACAAAACCAACATTATGCGTTTGCGACCAGCTTGGATCCAGACCAGCCTGCGCATCTGCGCAGTCTGATCAGGATCCATGCTGTTCGCTATCAGTTTCTCTACTTGATATAGGGTTGGTAAGCAAACAGCATGGATCCTGATCAGACTGCGCGGATGTGCAGGCTGGTTTGGATCCATGCTGGTCACAAACGCATTATGTTTGTTTTGTCATGGCACGGCTCATATCTTCTATCTTTTATGAAATGTTCAAGCTGCTACATATTCTCCTAATTCTCTAATTTCTGTCATGACTGTCTTAGCTTCATGTTGTATATGTTGATACATTGATCCTTTCAGATCCTCGAACACGATATTGGTTTATGTTTTTCGGGAATCCAATACCTGTGTGGCTGCTGACAATTGCCTATCTAGTATTTGTTGTGTATGCGGGTCCAAAATTCATGAAGAATCGCAAACCATACTCATTACAGACTTTCATGGTAGTCTACAACCTGGGACTTGTAATAATGTCAATATATATGTTTGCTGAGGTAAGTTGTATCTCAGGCTTTCAGCATATTTGCTATGCCAATAATGGTCAAATTATCATAAAATAATCACCCTGTGATCATAAAGAACAAAATTACTGTCTAGCACCCATTTACTATACATGTATAAAGAATAACTTTATATAGGAATTTGACTATTATTGGCATGGTAAATGTGCAGAACGCCTGTGTGTTGTGTATGACAAATCAAGGGTTTTATTTTGTTTGATTTGGATTTAAGGCATGCTAATGCTATTAAGGTAATATGGTGACATTCAAGCTTTACTGGTGAAGGGAGACCTTAAAGTGCCCCCTCATGCTTAATTTCAAGCACAGATTGGCACTTTAGTTTAGCTATGATATAATATAGTTTCCTAGCATGAACATGATGAAAAAAACCAAATGTTCTAGCCCCCTAGTTAGGATTCCAATCCATATAGGTAAGGGGCAAGTGACCTAATGTCTGTGACCACAACAACTGAAACACAGAGGTCCCATGCACAGACAATCCAGCATGTATTGATGGCTAGGACCTGTTCTTATTCTATAATATATTATATAGTCCAGCTAGCATGCTGTTTAATGGGCAACTTTTGTCTTAAGTGTCAATTCCAAAAGATTTTTCAATCTAGGGCTACATGTTGTTATCTCATTATATAGTGTTATATATACCCTGTTGTGATGATATAAATTATGTTATACCCTGACAGGCAAGTTCAAATATCAAATTACTAGTCATTTGCCAAGTTATGTCTTCAGAGTGATGAATTTTTTATATACCTGAGTATTACATGTTAAAACACTAGGGTATCTTTTTTTCCCTTTATCAGCAATAATTGTTTCAGGGTTAAAATTGATGACATGCAAAGGCTTTTTGTTTTTGTAAATTCTTATTAAGATAAGGGTGTCAAACACTGTGAATTTCAAGTATTCAAGTATTAGGATTTATTGATTTTACCAAACACTCAGGGTGGGGTTGAACTAAGTACACATAGTGATAATGTAGTGGGAAGTGAATTTTAGGAGATAAAATAGCTTTAAAAATAACCCCTGAATTAAATATCTCGTTAAAAAATTCTCACTTGAAGTTTCTGTAAAATATATATTTAAAGAAAAGAACGAGTAAAGAATGAGTAGAATGAGTTACTGTTCGCCTAATGATAGATAGAGCAGATAGATTTATTTTTTTTGTAAGTAAATGATGATAGTTTTTTATGTCTGGTAAATTGTGGCTGTTTTTATAAAATGAATATTTATGCTTTTCTCTCAAGGAAAGTGAATAGAAATACAATTAAAAAACAAAATGTTTTAAGAATAAAGACCAAACAGGAAAATGGAGTCAGACTGTTATTTTCCCAAGCATCTAACACAACAGCATTCAGTTCTGGGTATTACAAGATCAGTATCCCAGTTCAGAAACAAATGTTTTAACAATAACTGAGCCAACTCTGTATGTTTTGTTATAATTACATATACATATTGATAATATATCAAACTCAGAAATTACAAAGTGAATGTTAAACCAGGTTTACAGAGGCCAAATATCTTTTATAAAGAAACTTTTTGCTATAAATTACCTTATAATGGTCAGTTTTGTCATACTTTTCCCAATACTCAGGCTTTTGTGCCTCAGTCACACAAAAAACAAGCTTGACCTAATTGTAATCTGTGTAATTGTACTAGTACTTTAACGCAAGTTTCTTTTAATCAAAGGTGCATGTCTTTTGTTATTAGCTTTGGAGAGATATTGGAGAGCTATTGTATTATTACCCAGGCATCAGTTAAGTTTTTGCATACAAGTTGGTATCTCCAAACTACTTAATGGAAATGAGTTGAAACTTCACTCACATATTTGAGGGCATAATAGAAGGTCACTGGCCAAGGCCCATAACTCTAATATAGATTTTGACTCATTTATGGCCCTTTTTGAACTTAAAAAATTCTACATTATCCAGGCTCTTGTTTTACTATCAAGCACTGAGAATAGTTGAGCACACTGTCCTATTGACAGCTCTTATATGTAAGATATCAAATATCATTTTAATGAGTCAAGGTTAACTTTATTTGTTTAATATTAGATAAACCAAGGCATAACACTTAATATCACATTAATACAATAAAGTTTGCTCCCTGTATTTATAATTTTTACATTCATGCTTGTTAATTATAATCTAGAATGATACAGACAAGTTTCAAAGACTCTGCTGCTTGGTTAACATATTGAGCATAATATAAGGTATTTTAGTAACAGACATTTAGATATAATTACAGCTTTTGTCACTATTCTACAAACAAATTCCCCACATATTACTTGCAACTTGTCCATATGTTATTTCTCATGTTAGAATAAAATCTGAGCATTTTGTATTGGTTACTGTGGTAACAGATATGTAATTTAGTATCAAAGGTGATGTTTTTAATCAGAGTGTTTGCAAAATAAAAAAAAATTCCTAGATATAACTATTCAATTAACATTCAGAAATCAGATTTAGAATAATGTTTATCATGATAGTACAATAAATTGATTTGTTTTTTTGTGTCATATTTCAGTTTTTGTTGAGTACCCGAGCTGCAGGCTATAACTGGCTTTGTTCTCCGTACACGGAAAATACATGGAAGGACCCACGGGAAATGAGGGTACGTATAATCAACGACAATCTCATCCTGAAAAACAGTATAATCAACGACAATCTCATCCTGAAAAAACAAAAATCTCTCCCGCATAATCTACCTCGACAATTCATCTTCGTCAATTATACGTCATCAATAAAATCAATTGTTTTATCTCCAGTAAGCAGAGAGAGAAAAAAAGGGACAATATAAATTGATCATTTAAGTTCTGTTTGTATGGTCCTGATAAGATATTCATGATCAATGTTCCTAATGATTTTATTTACTGATGATCTGACAAGGTGAGCTTGATGACAATTTACAAACCAGATAAACAGAACGCGTTCACAGATTTGACATTTTAGGAAGATTCTATTTTGGTATATAATATATAAATATGGGATGTAATATATTGATTAATATTGCAGCATTCACTTAAAACAAGAGCACCTGCAGTTGATTAGTCTAAAGCCTATTACTGAGACTATATTAGGATTGTCCTTATATTATTTGCATTATGAGCTGTCTTAATATTTATTTTGTGCTAATGCATCGAATTTGTCAGTAAAATGTGCTGTCTGTTATGGTTTTTCTACCGTATTTTACAATCAGTATCAAAAGGGAAATACTTCTTGTTTTGTTCTCTACTTTCATATTTTATTAATGAAAAACTAAGGTCAAATAACATATTAAGTTACTCAATAAGATTTCAAAGTTTATTCGTCTTGGATTACACTTATATTTGCACTTGGCTATCCTTAAAAGATTTGCACCTGACTACCATTTAATTCATACATGACTACATGTACTATTTTGTTCTCATTGTGACCTGTCTGTGTTCAAAACTTTTCAAACATTTTGTGAAAATATAGATGAACCAAGACAGACAGGCATATTATATTGGTTAATATTCATGCATCTAAAATAATCATTCCCCCTCCTCTGTGTGAACAGTCAAACTAATTAATCTCAGTGTTTACAATGCTTCACAGATCAAATTTACACAAGATCAGGAAACACCTAAACTTTTAGGTCTGAACAAATTTACTCTATAATAAATACAATAGTTTATCACCATACACCTGTCTGTTTGTATAATTAATATCTGTTTTGTTTTAAAATTTATTTTGTTTAGTCTCACTTTCTTCTCTTTTTTAAGTCTACAGCAATTTCAGGGTAATTTCAAATTATTAGCTCGACTATTCAAAGAAAAGTCACCCCGGGGTCTATGTCACACTTTGGAGAAAGTTTGTAACTCCAAAACTACAGAAGGGTTGAAACTTCACACTTATTTGAGAGCATAATAGGAGGTCACTGCCCAGGCCCAAAACATTATTAAAACATGGATTTTGACAGAATTATGGCCCGTTTTGAACTTATTAAAAGCAATTCTACATTATCAAGGTATCAATCACCGAGAATAATCAAACACGCTGTTCTACTGACAGCTCTTGTTTTAGTTGTTTAAATGACAGCTCAGCATTTCAACATATATTTTTCCATAAACTTTGTTAATTTTTCTTAAAAATAAAATGGTGATGATCTTATATTCAACAAAAATTCTTTCACTCTATTATTTATAAGAAGCTACAAACAGTTTGCTTAAGTTATGGATGATTTCTCAACCTTTAGATATTCATCTTTTTGATACACAAGTGTTATAGAATCTTTTCAACATGTGACTATAAAGTCAAAATACATTGTCTGCATGCCATAGTTATTATTCATAAAGAGCAAAGTATAAAATATTAAATGTGTCTGGTTCCAGAGTTATGTCGGAACTCATCTAAAATTATAAAGCTTATCCATATGGAAATGAAACAATTCAAAATTAATGCATTAATTTTGTAGACAAAATATTGCAGACTAAAACAACAAAAGTTTTTTTTTTTCAATTAATTGCCTTATCGGCTAATCAGCATTGATCTCAAAGTATTGACATCATTTTTGTTGAAAGTAACACACCCCAAGATGTTATTTGTGTGAAATTTGAGAAATTGTTGTAATGAATGAATATATTGCTAGAAAGAAAACAAATTAAAAGATTTCAACTGGCCTAAGTTTCATTATACTTTCCAAAGACATTACCTTTAAGTTGACAGAGTATGCAGAAACAGGGAAGAATTCTTAGGAAAACTAATAAATGTTGTCCCATCTTTCACAATACTTTCAAAGTTTCACCTGGAACAGGCATATAATGTATATACATGTATCTACATTTAAAATATGTTTTTCTTAAATTCCATTTTTTTTCTTGAAACACATCTGGCAGTGTGGCCGCTTTAAGATCAAAACCTTCAACTTATTGGTTGCAAGGTGAACACTTACTATTTTCTTTTCATTAGAACTTAAATCTTGCTGTTATAGACTAACTTAATTTTGAATTTTATTGTACATTTGTTATGACTATGAAAAAATCAAAGTAAAGTGGAATGAAGTTACAAACATGAAGCAACAAACAAAATATAGTGTCTTGGCAAACTGCATGCAGGTCTAGCCGAACGTACTTACGGAATAGTACTTATATGACCTTTGATCTTTTTAGCCATTTTTAGTCACACAAGACTTAAAAAAGACACACAAGTAAAAATGGAATGAATAGGATCAAAGAGAATTTACTGTTACCCATTGTTCTCCAAGTCACACAAGTACGTCTAGGTTTGTACGAGACTTACTAAACTGGTGGAAATTGTCTAAGGTGGAGTCTGGTGCTGTTGAGGGGATACACAATGATACATTTTTAGAATTGAGGCAAATGTCCTGGTGGAATGAGAGAGGCTAATGATAGTTCAGACATATCTTTATTAATGACATTAACTCATTTAGCTGTGTAAATCTTTGTTTCATGTAATTGATATTATCTTGAATTTGAACCCCAGGTTGTATAACTATAAATTTATCTTAAGTGATCTTGTACATGGTATACATTTCTATAATATATTATCTATAAAGGGAACTGGATCAAAGGTTATAAAAAAAATTTCTCAGCTCAAACTTTGAACTCAGAATGTATCTGCCAAATAGAAATCCACAGATTTGAGACAGATCTCAGATAAAGAAGATCTATATCCTGAAGGCCTGAGGTAAATTGAATGGCAATCTGAATTCTTATTTATGTTAAAGAAATCAAAGATATATCACTATGCTTTGAAACTGGAACAAACAAACAAACAAACAAACAATGTTTTCAAATTTTGATGCCTGTTTTATGATATTTTTTTTCACAAAAATAAAAAAGGGGGTGTTTGCTTGGATATGTAATAATTTCTAAGGAAAACAAATTGTATAGTTGATTTATTGGACAGGAAATAAGACATTTAACAAGCATTTTCTACCAGAGATATTTTAGGAATAATATTTCTGTACTTAATTATTATGATTTTCCAATACCAGATTTATATGAAAAAAAAATGTTTTATTTATTTTCGAGGGAAATTGAATAAACCAATCTAATATCTATTAAAAGAAAGAAAAAAACCTTTCTAGAACTTAAAAGTGAGCCTTTGCCACAAGTAAAGAGCCAGGCCAGGCCATCCCTGCAGTCCAACCAATCATGTCTGATTTTATGTTTTGTGGCCTGATTAAATTCAGTATATGATATTACTTCCTCAAACTAACTGATAATTCCAAATACAAACCAGCATATGTTTATCACTTAAATGCACAATGGGAAAGAGAAACATTTATTTTGTCTGTTACATTTATTTATAATTTAGGGCTAGGTGCAAGACTATAATATAACTACAGAGAAACATTTTATGTGGCTCCAAATTGACAACATTAACAATGGGTATGTAAATGTAATATCTATAATCAGGTAAATGTGATTTTATTTCAGGTAGCCAATGTTATGTGGTATTATGCCATATCAAAAGCTATAGAATTGTTGGACACAGTGTTAATGATTTTACGGAAGAAGGATGCTCAAATCACATTTTTACATGTATTTCATCATGCAACGATGCTCAATATATGGTGGTGGGTACCCACCTTTACACCAGGTGGTCAAAGTAAGTTTATACATTATTATACAATATTGAACTGTTAAAACTGCTCTTTAGGTGACCCTTCACATGTTAAGCTGTAAAGTATGAATGGTACCACTATGAAGGGGTCTTTCACATGTGTGATAAATTCATGTAGGGCTCTTTCACAAGTATGATACCTGCATTGGAGGGCTTTGTCCCAAGTGTGTTTTCTTCATGGTGGGGTCTGTCTCAAGTGTGATACATTCATTGAGGGCTTCTTTAACATGTGTGATATCTGCATGGAGAGCTTTGTCACAAATTTGATACCTTCATGATGGGCTATTTTAAGAGTGTGATAAATTTATATTTGATACATGAATGGAGTGTCCATTAAAAAAGTGATTGCTACATGCATGGAGGGTTCAGTCAAAAAAGTGATACATTCATAGAGGGCTCTGTCTCTCTGCTGCTTCATGAAATACTGAGGGACGTCATGGCCAAGTGATGAATGTTAATGACTTCGAACCACTTGGCCCTCACTGCTGTGGGTTCAACTTGCCCAGGGACTTTGTGTGTGGAAGCTTTCTAGCTAGCTTAATTAATGTTGGTTTTTCTAATCTTGTGCCTGAGGGGCACCTGAGGACTTCTTCTGAAGCTGGAATGTTGCCATCTTAACATAACCCCACCCCCCCCCCCCAGAAAAAAAATAAAAAAATAATATGAATAATAATAATAATAATAAAAAATAAAAAAATAAAAATAAAATAAAAAAAATAAAATAAAATACTTTGATATTGAAATTCCTGAGATAGTTAAAAGAATAAACACAATTTTACAGTAGGACCTCTACATTACAAAAAGGAAATTATCAAAGCAAAATATAGTTGAATTCAAGCAAACTTAACTTTTGAGTCAATTTACTTTGACTGACATATTTTTGAGACATTGTTATTCACTGACATAGTAACTTTTATACTATATTATCATTTATGTCATGGCCGTGATAGTGTAACTGATCAATTTTGAATTATTTCAAGGTCATTTTTATCATACGATGTCTTACATTTTGTAAAGGCATGTCATAAGTATGAGGTGCAACAATAGTATCAGCTAGTATTCGTATTGACCTTTAAGCTGTTCTCATTATCAGTCGGGGTGAAAAATGAAATTTGTACTATGCGATGTTGATAACAGGTATTTTTAGTTCTATACTGTCAACAGTATTCAAATTAAACCAGTTTGAAATGTATAGATTTTTTATGGATAGTAAACCAACAGTTACTGAATACACCTAAAAAAATGACTTTTTTCCAATTTTTGCATTTTATATCAAAATCCTTTTGTTACACTCAATTCAGTTTAACATGTGGTTACTGCATTATACAATGAAAGCTCTGAGATTATTGTCACAGTATACATGTATAATAATAAGTTTTAACTTACTATATTCCCTGTCTGAACCAGCATACTCTAAAATATAAAATTTCGAAGAAAATCTTAACCCAAACTGTAAAAGTGTAGGTCAAAGTTTGTGTCACTTAAAACTTTCAACAGCGAAATTTCTCAATAGAATTTGAAATTATAGATTAAATAATGAGCTGAAATCAATAAATCAGTTATCAATAAAAAAAATCCAATCAATATTCTGCATTCATCAAATGGGTTTACCATATATTTGATTTTGAAAGACTCGTAAGTCAATAAACTTATATTTAAGATGGGTTATTAGAGGTTTACAATATGTAAAGATAAGAAAGTCATACATTTTGTTTGTAGCTGGTTGCCAATAACACAAGGAATGATAGAGCACTTTTTCACAATAATATTTTATGATTAATATCTCTATGCATGATCTAGGACGGTTCACTTATTATTTATTAGGAGAGAGAATGTGTAAGCGGCTGGATAGCTCAGTCATTAGAGCAACAGTACGGTATTCTGAGAGACAAGGGTTTGAGTCCTGGTCAGGCTGCACTTTTTTCTCACTTTAACGGTGGTGCCCTTTGTGGGGCCCTGGCTGTATAAAACTTTGAGTCAATTCACATTGTTCTTTGTTCCCATTAGAAATTCGAGATCCAATTTTTCTCTGTTCCCTTTAGAAATTTGAGATCCAATTTCAATATAGTGGGGGAGTATGTCACAGTCTAGAACTGTTCAATTACTAGGGGCGAGAATGTGTAAATGGCTGAATAGCTAGGTCGGTAGAGCCACAAAATAGTATTCCGGGGTTTGAATCCTGGTCACTTTGTGAGATTTGCACATGCATAATTATAATCTTTTATAAGGTAGATAATAGGCCACCCTTCACTTTCATGCAGTACCCAAAAGGTTCCAAACTTGAAGCAATGGAAGGTAATTCTACAAATTTAGCAAGTAAAAGGTTAAATCATTGATATTAGGGGACTAGTTCTTATATAACCCTTGACCTGTTGGAACTGAAATCATGATTTAACTGGCTGCCACCCTGAGTGTAGAGTCAGGCCAGACCAGGCTTCTGTACTGTGTTAGTAGCTCAGTATTTGTGTTTTGATACTGAAAATTCATTTAACTTTGTTCAACACAAATTCAGCAGGCCCAAGAGTCAAAGCATTTTGAAGAACCATCCATTCTTTTGTACTTGAATTTCTTTTATTTGCATTAATTGAGTAAACTTTCATATGTTGTTTATTTTATCGTAAATGCAAAAAAATGTTTTATATTCTTTGCTGTTTAAACACTGTAAATTGATATATGATTTATTTTATGGCTGTAAATACAATAATGATAATACCTGGTTCAACATTTACTGTTACTCCATTTAGCATAGTCATTGAACCTACTTTGTAATATGAATATTCAATAAGCTCACAAGAATGTCCAATTAAATCAATTGAAAATCAATATTTAATTACAGGGTTTTTTCTCTCACTTATTCATACTGATTAATCAAGCATGGTTCAAAATAATCAATCATTGTGATTAAAGGGGAACATGTCAAGATTTATAAAGTCTGCATCAGATTTAATACAGCTGGTTTATGTTCAGACAGAGGGGGCAAATATAGTCCAGTTATAAAACTGTCATATTACAAAGCAAGGAGTTCAAAGTTTGACTTTTCATTTCTCCTTGTTAAGAAACTTAAAGAGGCCTTTTGATGAGACTTTTAATCCAAGATTCAAATGATTTACTAGCATACTATATTCATGAATGAAATTGGCCTTTGATAAAAGATGTTTAAATTTTTAATTTTTAAAATCAAGTTGTCACTCTTTTTAAAAGGGGGATTATAAAATAATCAATAGAACCTAAAAAAATTTATTAAAATAAAAAATAAGCTTTTCCAGAAGGCGATGCGCGTTTAACTTTCGTTTTTTAAAACAAGGGATCTTGTATTTTGCATGTTCTGGGGAATTAGGACAATGAAACTCCTTCAAATAAATTGATTGATTTACGGTGAATGAAATTGCAATTTAAGATTGAGTTTTATACGGGTGTCGGGTGTTGTAAAGATTGAGGCCAGGGTAAATTAACTTGTGTTTATAATTGCCAGGTCAACAGCAAGATAGCTTAGTTTGTAAAGCTATGGAAAAGTATTCCAGGGGACCCACGTTCAAGTCCCAGTAAGACTGCACATTTTTCTCAACGTGTGACATAATAGTCATTCTTTTGACTGTTAAAAGGATTCACCGTTGTAATTACGGAACATTTCAATTTCTCAGCTGTGTCAGTGAGACCTGAACATTTTTGCCATTTTTGGTATGGACGAGACAATCTCATAATTCACATTACGGATGAATGAGAAAAATAATTCTTTTTTTTTTTTCATTCCTGGCCACCTGTATTTATTATGGAATAAGCAAAAACAAGTTCTGTCTTACATTCAAATGATTCTACAATTGCTTATTTTTCAAGCAACAGAAATTGTACTGAATATGGGCCCACTCAATTTTTGTCTTCTTGAACTCTCAAATTTCAAACTATAACTTTAGTATTATCCACAAAGAATTGATCTGTCTGAACATTTAATTACTTGAACTGTGAATATTGAACACTAGACCGGATATAGAGCCAGTCCCTACCTTTTATATTTTCTTTGACAATCGTTTATTTACCCAAGAATAAAGTCAATATCCGAAATGTATTATTCTAGTTATTGAAAAACTATTATAGGCTGCATGTCTTTGTGGATTAAGGGAAATGAATTTATTTAAATAGTTACAGGGGCAAATTAGTTCTAGAGGTCATTTTTGTTGGTAGAATGTCACCTGGTCTTAATAATGTTGTACGTAACTTGACAGATTATATTTTTCCCATCTAATCCTGGGGTACAAACAAACTTTAAGCGTCACAGTGGTCTCAAAAGAGCGACCAATATGTTATACTTGTAATCAATATATTTACAAAGTTATAACTGTAAAAGTCTATTTATTCTTGTACCCTCTGATTACATAGGAAAAAACAACATTTCCTGAGTTTTTGAATATCTCTTCATGTAAATTGATGCTAGTTACTTAGTAAGAATGCATTTTTTGCACTTTCAACTTAAAACTAACTTTTGTTTTTTTTGATTTCTCTTTATATTCGAGACATATATTAATGAAATTTTCTTTACTTAATTAAATAAAAATTGAAATTTATAATGGCAAAATAAACCATTCAATGTGATTAAGATAACATAATATGTCTTGACAAGTATAGAAATTATCTTAATTGTATACTGCCAATATGTAGATAAATATATACAAGATTTAACATCAAGGTCATACTATAGGGTCAAAAACTGGAAAGGACATTTAATATGTTTACTAACTAATAAAGCACTGGATGCTAGTAACATCACAGAATGTTTATCTGTATAATTTTGACAGTTTACGATAACCATTGAGTTTCTCTGTATCCTAAAGGTCAAGGTCATGAGTAGAGGTCAAATGTCATGTCATGTGTGTAAAATATTTGTAATTAAAGACATGTATTATTTTCTGTATTTTTCAGCATGGTTTGGATCCTGTTTGAACTGTTTAGTTCATGTTGTAATGTATTCCTACTACGGTCTAGCAGTTATACCATCATTGAGAGATAAACTGTGGTGGAAGAAATATATCACAACATTTCAACTGGTAAGTACAATGACCATTTAATGTACATGTACATGTAGTTGATGGTTGAGTGATGGTATTTAATGCAACATACCTCCAGATTCATGCTTATTTCTCATTTTCATGAAAATTTTGAAAAATGCATTAAAAAGTAAAATATTGTGATGTGAACAAAGAAAGTAATTTACACATCGCAAATGGCTCTTACAATCCACGTTAATTACTAAAAAGAGGTCAGAATATGCAAAATTAATCCTTACTGCATTATTCAGGTGGTAGAAATATAGTAATAAGTATTGCACACAATCAATAATCACACATATATAGTATATTATTACTAGAATCTTGAATCTTTTTACTTTTCTTAAAATCACAGTCACATTAAGTTGATTTTCTTGAATTTTGGCTCATCTGGTGGAAATTATTTTTGGCTCATCAGGCATGTACCTTTAATTAAGCATAAAATATAGTCTAAAGTTCGCTCAACATAGCAAAATTGAACATGCCGCAGTCTTGGTTTGATTAAGCCTCTTCATGGATGGCAGAATTCTTTATAAGTAATACAGTGTCCATATGAGCCGCGTCATGACAAAACCAACATAGTGGGTTTGTGACCAGCATGGATCCAGACCAGCCTGCGCATCTGTGCAGTCTGATCAGGATCCATGCTGTTCGCTATTAGTTTCTCTACTTGTAATAGGGTTTGTAAGCAAACAGTATGGATCCAGATCAGACTGCGCGGATGCACAGGCTGGTCTGGATCCATGCTGGTCGCAAACGCATTACGTTGGTTTTGTTGTGACGCGGCTCATATGATGATTAAGTAACACACAAGATAACATATTATGAAGAATATAGTTCCATTCAACTGCTAAAACCTCTCTTGTTATACTTATTTTATTCATGTACAAAAAAAGAACAAGCATACTGGTTAGATTTACAAATGGCTGTAAATTTGCAGTATTAGCATGGGAAATATTTAAATGTTATCATTTAAATGTAATCAAATCCATGAATGATACATACAATATATTCCAATTATATCCCAGTTTCTCTGAAATTAGATTTTATGATTAATTTTATTGCATAATTGCATGTACAATCATATATCTTTTGGTTTTATACAACAAAATTTCAGGGGGAAAAGGAAACCAAATATAGATGTATTGTTGGTATAGATATTTTGTTTTTTATGCCACCGCAGCATCTGCGATGCGGTGGCATATAGCGATTCACCTGTGTGTGTGTGCGTGTGTTTGTGTGTGTGTTTGTGTGTGTGTTATATAGATTATATAGTGAACTTAAAAAATCTTCTTGTGAAAAACCACTAGTCCAATTTCAACCAAACTTGGCAGGATTGTTCCTTGGGTGAAGGGCTTCCAAAGTTGTTCAAAGAATTTCATTCCATGCAGAAATCTGGTTGCCATGGCAACCAAAAGGAATTATAATATAGATAAATACAGAATCCCTAAAGAAAGCCCAACACGGCAAAATTGAAAATAATAAATTTAAAAAATCTTCTTGTAAAGACCCAAAAGGCCTAGAACTTAGATATTTTGCATAAGGCATTGTCTGGTAGACCTCTAACAAGATTGTTCAAATTATAGCCCTGGGGTCAAAATTGGCCCCGCCCCGGGGGTCATTGATTTTCACTATGTACATATAGTAAAAACTTAAAATACCTTCTTGTAAAAACCCAAAAGGCCTAGAGCTTAGATATTTTGCATAAGGCATCGTCTGGTAGACCCTTACCAAGATTGTTCAAATTATAGCCCTTGGGTCAAAATCGGCCCCGCCCCGGGGTCATTGATTTTCACTATATGTACATATAGTAAAAACTTAAAACACCTTCTTGTAAAGACCCAAAAGGCCTAGAGCTTATATATTTTGCATAAGGCATTGTCTGGTAGACCTCTACCCAGATTGTTCAAATTATAGCCCTGGGGTCAAAATCGGCTCCGCCCCGGGGGTCTTTCGTTTTCCTTATATGTATATAGTAAAAACTTATAGTAAAAACTTCAAAAAAAATTCTTCTAGCAATTGACAAATGCTAGAGGTTAGATATTTTGCATGAAACATTGTGTAGTAAACCTCTAGCAAGATTGTTCAAATTATAGCCCTGGGGTCAAAATTGCCCCCGCCCTTGGGGTCATTGATTTCAATATATACATATAGTAAAAATTAAATAAATCTTATTGTCTGAAGGTACAAGGCTTAGAGCTTTAATATTTGTTAAATAATATCATCTAAAGGTACTCTACAAAAGTTATTCAAATTTTGCCTCTTGTGTCAAAATTAGCCCCGCCCCCGGTGGCCATAGGTTTTCCTTATATGTATATAGTAAAAACTTAAAAAATCATCTTCTCTAAATTTACAAAGGCTAGAGTTAAGATATTTTGCATGAAACATTGTGTAGTGAACCTCTTGCAAGATTGTTCAAATCATAGCCCTGGGGTCAAAATTGGTTCCGCCCCGGGGGTCATTGATTTTCATTATGTACAAATAGTGAAAAAAATAAAAAATATTTTTGTCTGAAGGTACAAGGCATAGAGCTTTGATGTTTGATATATAATATCATTTATAGGTCCTCTACCAAAGTTGTTCAAAATTTTCCCCTGGTGTCAATATTGGCCCTGCCCGGGGGCAGTGATTCTCATTATGTACACATAGTAAAAAAAGAAAATAAAACAAATGTTTTCTGAATGGGAGAAAGCTATAGCTTAGATATTTGACTTGAAATGTTGTTTGGTGGACCTGTATCAAAATTGTTTTGAATTAAACCCTTGGGTCAAAATTATGCCTTGCCCAAGGGGACAGTGACCTACTTTCTTGTCCTTTGATGTACAGTAATGACATTTTGACCATGTGCACAGTTTTAGTTGTAAAATTAAACTTTGATATCAGGTGACCTAGATTTTGATGATGTGACCTACTTTCTTGTCCTTTGATGTACAGCTATGAAATTTGAACCATGCGGTGGCATAGCATTTTTCTCAAATGCAATCTTGTTTTATCTATTGACTGTTTTCTTCTTTTTAGATCCAGTTTGTTGTGACATTTTCTCACACAATGCAGACGTACTTCACCGGATGTGATTTTCCAATGTGGGGACAGTATTTGCTTGGAGGTTATATGGTTGTTATGTTGATTTTATTTGGCAACTTTTACATACAGTCTTATATAGTAAAGAAGAATAGAAGGAATCAATTAAAGAAAACAGAAGCTGCCAATGGGCATAAAACAAACTCTGTCAGCGAAAATGGTAGCCATAGCAACAAAAGTAAAGTTGATAGAAAACAGGTTGACGATAATGTTACAAATGGCAATTATTTAATGAATGGACATTCAAATGGAGTGATTAAGAGACAATGATAAATAGTATTGAACAAAATTAGGTGTTTTTAGAAATTTTATACTTATTATAAACTATTACGTTAGTGAAAACTTGAACAATAATAAACTATTATGTTAGTGAAAAATTGAACAAACGGTAATGCAGGTTTTAGAATCATGTCTGTGCAAGTGTGTAATTATTATTCAAATTAATCATTCTCTTATAAATACATTTTTGTACTCCCTTTTGTTTTTTTTGTTTTTTGTTTTAAATAACAATTTCTTTGCCATTTGATTGTGTGCTGATCTCATTCCAGTGTTGATTGTTCTATTTATAGCTTATTCCTTCTATAGCCTCAAAGCCAAAAGGTTATCAGTTTTTTTTGTACGTAGCAACCTCCTATGGTTTTGATATTAAATGTCCTTGTGATAAACCATAAACCAGCTAGAACCAAAAGAGACTAACCTGTGCCATCAGTATAGAACCAGGCCAGTGTACGTCCAGTATGACCAGGCTCTATTTCTTTGCCTGCCCAATGTGATAATGGACAGTTCCAAAAATGGAAGCTGGAAAAGTCCACTTTAAGAAATTCAGGGTTATATTAAGGGCTATGTTACAAACAAAATGCATAATATATATTTAGTGTGAAATGTTACTGAACACAAAGTTATGTTTTATATTAAAGGCGTCAGGAAAACAAAATAGAATTCTATCACACTTTATTTCCATTTCTTGTTTTTTTTCTCACTTTTCTGATGTTTTCTCCGTGAGCCTTGGATGTCATCGTCGGAACCCACGGTACACATTCTGTATATACCGTACTACATTTACTGATACTGGTATACGGTAAATAGCCTGGGTTACTGAGTATGCTTGGATCCAGGCCAATATCAATTCATCTGATTCTAGTTTTGAAGATATAAGGAAAAGGTACAATGTCAGTCTGTTCATTACAATATCTGTTTCATTTAATGTTCTTGTATTCAAGTTACACTGTCAAGAAAATAAAATACATTCCTTGAAAAAAAATTGACATGGTTCCGATACCTTGTGACATTTGATATGTTTTAAAGTACAATGATACAGTCATTTCAACTTTACATTTTGCACAGATTTGTTAAACTTGGTAAGATTTGTGCATTTGGTGACAATAGCTACATGTTTTGTTTCAAAGGAGATAACTCATTTGATATAATAGTATTAGTCTTGTACAAGTTATCTTTCTTTGATGATTTTTATGCCCCCACAATGTGGGAGCATATAGCGTTGCACTTGTCCGTCCGTCCGTCAGTCCGTCCGTTCGTCAGTCCGTCCGTCAGTCCGTCCGTCCGTACGTCCCGAAATCTTGTGAACGCAACTCCTCTAAAACCGGATGGCAGATTTTACTTAAACTTACAGGGATGAACAACCTTAATGTGTAGATGGTAGTAAAGGAAGGAATTTTCGCTGCGACCAAATTTAACAGAATTATGGCCCTTTGTTGATTTTTTCACTAGATACTATATAGAAATTTTGTGAACGCAACTCCTCTTTAACCAGTTGGCAGATTTTGCTTAAACTTACAGGGATTAACAACCTTAATGTGTAGATGGTAGTAAAGGAAGGAATTTTTGCTGCGACCAAATTTAACAGAATTATGGCCCTTTATTGATTTTTTCACTATATACTATGTAGAAATTTTGTGAACGCAACTCCTCTTAAACCGGATGGCAGATTTTGCTTCAACTTACAGGGATGAACAACCTTAAGGTGTAGATGGTAGTAAAGGAAGGAATTTTCGCTGCGACCAAATTTTACAGAATTATGGCCCTTTGTTGATTTTTTCACTATATACTATGTAGAAATTTTGTGAACGCAACTCCTCTTAAACCGGATGGCAGATTTTGCTTAAACTTATAGGGATGAACAACTTTAAGGTGTAGATGGTAGTAAAGGAAGGAATTTTCGCTGCGACCAAATTTTACAGAATTATGGCCCTTTGTTGATTTTTTCATTATATACTGTGTAGAAATTTTGTGAACGCAACTCCTCTTAAACCGGATGGCAGATTTTGCTTAAACTTACAGGGATGAACAACCTTAATGTGTAGATGGCAGTAAAGGAAGGAATTTTTGCTGCGACCAAATTTAACAGAATTATGGCCCTTTGTTGATTTTTCACTATATACTATATAGAAATTTTGTGAATGCAACTCCTCTTAAACTGGATGGCAGATTTTGCGTTAACTTCCAGGGATGAAGAACCTTAAGGTGTAGGTGGCAGTAAAGGAAGGAATTTTTGCTGCGACCAAATTTTACAGAATTATGGCCCTTTGTTGATTTTTACACTAAATACTATGTAGAAGTTTTGTGAACGCAACTCCTCTTTAACCGGATGGCAGATATTGCTTAAACTTTCAGGGATGAACAACCGTAATGTGTAGATGGTAGTAAAGGAAGGAATTTTTGCTGCAACCAAATTTAACATAATTATGGCCCTTTGTTGATTTTTTCATTATATACTGTGTAGAAATTTTGTGAACGCAACTCCTCTTAAACCGGATGGCAGATTTTGCTTAAACTTACAGGGATTAACAACCTTAATGTGTAGATGGTAGTAAAGGAAGGAATTTTTGCTGCGACCAAATTTAACAGAATTATTGCCCTTTGTTGATTTTTAGTTTTCAACTTGTGGCACATGTAGTCCAAAAAATATTTGACCTAGAGTCATAAGATTGACAGAACAGTGGCATGTGGGGGCATCCGTGTCCTATGGACACATTTCTAGTTTTTTAAATGTTTTATGTGTAAGGAATACATTCATGATAAGTGTAAGAGTGAATCATTTAAAGACTTGAGTGATCATAAAATAACAGCATACATTTCAGACATCTTTGCTGTGACAATTTGATAAAACATGTTGTTGTGTGACCAAGTCTGAATTGCATTTGGGCGATGATTTAAAAATGTTACCAAGGTCTTTAAAAACAGGCTCTTTGTAATATGGTTAATGCTCTAAGATGGTCTAAAAGCACAAGTTTAACTGTACACTATAAAAAGTATTTACAGTTTTATACAATGCAAAACAAAAGATACCTTGGCTATAAATATTCCTTTAGCCTTTGAAATTCAAGTGTATGATAAGTTTACTTTGATAGACAATTGAATAAAAATATTTTTAACCCCTAACATACTGGAGCCAAAAGTGAAACCATATAAGCCCCGGCCAGCTTGCACATTCATGTAGCTAACTTTTTTATATTGTTATATTGTCCTTACACTTAAGATTGATTCTTAGACTGGTTCATGTATTTAAGATTGATTCTTTGACTGGTTTATTTAAGATTGATTCTTTGACTGGTTTGTTTATTTAAGATTAATTCTTTGACTGGTTACTGTATTTAAGATTGTTTTTTTAGACTGGTTCTTTTGGTGTATTTCTAAGAGAGTTTACAAATGCAGAAGGATAGTAAAAGTGAAGTTTATTGAGGTAAAAAATTATTAATGTTAACTGAAATTACAGTGAAGACTTTTAAACAAAATGAGTTATGTAACAGGACAATTTAATTTTATTATATTAGTTTTAAAAGATAATGTTCATTGACAATGAGTTTTTCTATTCTTGATCTTAGCTAATAGGTACTTATCAAGATTTTATGTGAAACAAAGTTTAAATTGATGTATCGGTAGAATAGGTGAAGATTAAAAATGTGATGATGTTGAGTTAATGCACATTAATGCTGATAGTTAACATTTTCTTTGAGTTATATGGTCCTTAGATGGCACTTGAAACATCCTATTTTCTTTATTAGATTGCAAAAAATGGTAGAATTTGATTTTTAGGTATTTTTATTCATCATAAAGTTATGTACTTTAATATCATTATGAATTAATTTGAGAGAAAAAAAAGTACTGTAACAGCAATATAATTATTTCAACGCAAACTTGTATCTTTCTGAATCAAATATTAGCATTTTCAAGTTTTTGAAAAAAATATGTTTGTATTAGCTCTATATTTTTTATGTTTTGTATTCAATATTTATTGATGATTTATGTGAACACAATTATATCTATATATACAAATATGAGTCATACAGTGTGTATTGTTCTCACTTTTTTCACAATGACTACAGGCAATTACACAGTAACTATCTATATCGTATTAATTAACATGTAATAACCTATACATGAACATGTATCATTAGTTTTTAATTATTTTGTATTTAATTGATGAAGCAGGTTGTTGATTTAATAATTATTTACTTTGGCAAATTTCTGTAAAATTGTTGCCTAGAAACCATAAAAAACTATTAAGTCTAGTCCTTTATCGTTATGTCTATAATAATGAGTTGTCGAACCAATCTGACCAGGCTCAATACTGCTTACTGGGTAATTTCATTATTTTGTTACTGACACCCCTCAAAGTCATAATGGGCAGGTTCGAATTAAAGACAGGAAGAGTCCATTTCAAAAATTCAGCTGGGTTAAAGCCTAAAGGGATGAAACAAATACTATTGAAAATACTGTAACATTTAAATGTTTTTAAGATGTGTTAGCTATAACCCAAGACCAATTTCAAAGTACCCTACCATGAACCTTGTCATGCATATCTTTTGTTTTAATATAGTATAACAAAAATAAGCTTAAGCCTTAATATTTCTTTAGTATAAATACAGTTATCATATACTATTCATGTATATCAATAATATTTATTTGAATCATTATCAATGTATATAATCATACAATATTAGACAAAAATAATCCTTTCTTGGAAGTCCTCATATCAGCTACTCTTCACTAAAAAAAGGTAAAAATGTTATACACAAAGGACTTCCATGACAGGCTTCATGTATGTTGTACTTAAAACTTCTGTTCTATGTTATTTTTGTGTTCTATATCATGCTTTGTGTTAAGTATGTACTGCGAGGCATGTTCATTGTAAATGAATAATTTCTTAATTGTTTGTGCCTTTGTGTAATTATAAATGCTTTGTATGATGAAAGTAAATCCATTTTTCTAGAAGATTTGTTTCATCTTTACTTTATTCCTTCACTGATGAATACATGGTTACATCAAGGTTCTGTTTTAAACCTATAGTAGTGAGATGTAAGTGATCACCATATCCATCAAGTTGTAACCCAACTTAAATCAGGAATTAATTTGAAACTTTAAAATATACGAGATTGGTCACAATAAGGCTCAGTAGGCCAAATTTCACAACAATTTAGACAGAGTTATGCCTCTTTTGTACATAGGAAATATCCTGAAATTTACATTAACATGCATATCTCTAACAACAGTCAAGGCATTAACTTTAACCTTATAATTTATTCCCCTTTTAATTTATACAAAAAGGGGCATCCATGGCAGAGTGGTTAAGATGGACTGTAGGTTCAAGCCATATATACATGCGTCTTCAGAATTTACTGGTTATTCAGCTAGCTTACAGAATGTCTGTGGTTCTACTCAGATTCTACCTAAGGCACCCGAGGTCTTCTTCCACCAATAAAGCATGAAAGTTGTCACATGACCTATAATGTGCTGGTGCAGCGTAACCCCCCCCCCCCCCCCGTTCCCCACATACAGAGATACCACAGGAACTTTTCAGATGAAAATAAAACAACAAAGTCAATTTGATTATTCAGTATTTTTATTGTAATTTATCAACAATCATGATTTATGTTCAAATATAGCAATAATTTAATGAAATACGGTATCTAAAGTTCTTTGTAAAAGAACCACAGTATGTATGTCAAGAAAGGTTTTTGTAGGGAACTAAAGACTATTACTAAATGTTAATCATTAAATCAATATGCATGTAATGTGCTGTAAATTTTGTGTAACTTATTTAATCAGAGTTATTCAATAACATAATATTATACTTTGGTCTATATGTCTACTGGTTAATTTAGACCAAATGTAAGAAGAAGAAAATAACTGAAACCTAGTAAAAATGATCAAGAAATATAATGATTACTGAATGATAAAACAGCACATTTGCAACGATATTTGCAGACAAATTATTGAACAATATAAAATATGAACACTTAATATATATCATCAAATGTGTATTAAATTGTGTTCACAACAATACAGCAAATCATGATTAAAAACAAATCACAGCTTTCACAATAATAATCAAAATAATGCTGATAAGTATAATGTAATATTTATCTTATTGGTAAAAAAATGTCTTTTTTCACTCTTTTACAAAATATTAGAAAGCTAAAGGCAAAAACAATGATGGGCATGTGACAGCACATAGAGTCAGCTAGGATTAATCGTCACTTTTGTGCAATAACTGGTTAACTCCTATTAAATTTAGAAGGATTTAACCCGTTACTGCACTAAGGTAGCAATTTGTGTTGTCTAACCAACCTCTATAACGCTGACTCCTCTATTATACACACAATTATAGTAATAAGTTTAAGTGGAGAAATATCATACTTAACTGTGTAACATCTTTCATAACAATGTAACAACAAGTTTCTTATAATTAACAAACACAAAACAAAATTTTCATGTAAATTTTTATATCAAATCAAACCATTTCCTAGTTTAGAAAGAAATATTAATGTTATTTTAAATTGACTTAAGCATGTGTTTTCAAATTCTGTCAATAAAATATGCAAATTTGGTACCTTTAGATATGCAATTAAAATAGTGTTAGCCATATCTGCAAATATGTTACTTTGGTATGCAAACAGATTTTAAAAACTTTACTGGAGTTACTGGCCATTGAATAACTAACAACCACAGTACTGGTGTACAAGTGATAAAATTCAGCAGTAACAGTAACAAGGATGTTGAGGAGATTTTTGCCATTACTATATTAATAAGTTATAACCCTTACTAATATGATATAATATCAACAAAATTATGAGAACATATTTTTACAAAATATACAAAAATAAAACTTTGAGGTAGATATGATAAAAACACATTTTTTTCTCTGCCATTTTCCTTTGTGATCAGAAATAAGAGACTGGCTTAATTAAAAGAATCCTTGCTGGTGAATACTGTACAAGGATTTACCAAAATTAGTACACATGTACTTTCAAAACCACTATATCTTGTGTGGTGTACTTTTTAAACCACTATATCTTGTGTGGTGTACTTTTTAAACCACTATGTCTTGTGTGGTGTTCTTTTTACACCACTATATCTTGTGTGGTGTAACTTGTGTGTAAAATTATTGAAAAGTAAAGAAAAGTACTAAAAATTAGTATATTAAACAAATTTTTTTATGACTTAATATAATACTTCTGGAAAACAAATGGCCTTTAAATTTTTACATTAAAAGCAAACAATCATGGAGTAAAATTAATTAAATATTGCAATAAACAATAAACAAATTTTTACGTTAAAATAAATGAGTTATTTTGTTTTTCAACTGAAGTGATATGTTTAAGTTTTAAACCAATCAATAGACTTGCAGAAGAGAATAATTTTTACATCAAACCTGTTGGACAATAAATTTTTAAATTCATTAAAATATCTTTGTTGTAGATGTTGATGTAGATTTTTTTAGCTTGTTTTATACTGAAAACACAATTGTAAAAAGTTATATTTTATATATGAGTTACAACTTAAAGATGATAATATTGCAGAAATGATCTATATTCTCGAAAATTGTTTATGGAAAAAGACCAACACCAAATTCTTCCGGTATGTTAATATGGTCTCTTGTTTTCCTAAATCTCATCTCAAATGGTATGTAAATAAAATTGCCACAATAAGAAAGTTGTAAGACAGATAGGTCAGACTTGAAGCTGCGTTATAGAGGTAGCCGGTTTGTTCTGGTGTCGGTTCAACTTGTTGTTGGTACATTTTTGATTCCTCAAACACTTGCTGTATTAAACCAGGACTGAAATAGATAATGTGTAATTCTTATTGTATAAAGAGAGACAACTCCAGGTTCAGATAATAAAATTGAAATTGGATTACTTCCCTTTTATTACAGTTATTATAGCATATCTTTGATTTATCACAGAATATTCTGTTCACCATTATATACATGGTATATCATAACAATAAATAATAAGATAACTATTATTAAATTATATATGTTAACATTCCTGTCCTAATTCTTGAATTTTAATCTAATATACCCACTCAAGTGTTCAGTTTGTTGAAAGGTATATAGTGCAAAGCAGATTAGAATATAAGACTCAAAGCATCATTCAAGAATGTAACAATGAACTCTGACATTATATATAAAAGTTAAAAGTCAAAGATCCTAACTAAATCAATCTGAGATATTCCTATAAACCTACCTAGGTGTCTCCATACGAATCCAGAGGTCATTAAAAGGTTTATCACTGTTATATTTCTTCCTTTTAGCTGTCCTAGTTTTCTCTAACCACAATCTATAAATCAGAAACCAGTAATAAATTATAAGTAATGATGCACACTTGCTATAGTTTTTAACTACTTTTTATGAATATTTATATCCTAAATCAATCCATTCTTTACATGGCATTATTCTGAGATGGTTTATTAAAGTAACAAGTAAAACAAATAAGTAATTATATAAAAGCAATCCACTTGTACAGAATGCAGTTACCTTAAAATGTTAATATAAATAAAGGGGACTGATGGCATAGTGGTTTCCACAATGTTTCTTCATGTGGCACTGCTTAGTTTAACAGAACTGAGAGTGATACATATGAGCAGTTAACAGTGGTGGGGAATATTACACATTACAATAGTGGGGAATATAAGATATTACAATGGTGGGGAATATTACATATTACAATAGGGGGGAATATAAGATAGTATAATGGTGGGGAATATAAAACAGAACAGCAGTGGATAAAACAGTTCAATACTATGTTGAATGGGAATATACCTGGATTCTTCATCCATTTGGTCCCACAAATCTCCAAACTCTTCATGTAGTTTGTTTCTATGCTTGTTTCTATTTCTGTTATAGAATTTCAATCTGAAAATATGAGGAAAATTTGAATAAAAAAACAACTCAAAAGGACATGATATTGATTCTAAAAAAGTGTCTAGAAAATGAAAGTTAAAAAGTGAAATCCCTCTTTAACTGATTACAATAGCAAATCATTAAAACTGTTACATAGTCTATTGAGTAAATTTACTTCCTTTTTTATCCACTCTAAAAGACTGTCTCAATAATTACTGACTTTTCTCAGAATGTAATATTATGAACTTGTTATACATTGTTTAAGGTCAATTCTGAATACTATTGGGTAAGTGCACAGCTGTCAAACCCACATTGGACAATGCATGCAAATTTTGCACCAGTTTACAAGTCCAATAGAATCAGTATTGTCCTTAACAATGTATCATGGCCTCTTTATTTCACATTTTTTTACATTTTGACAAACTTTGTTACTGCAAGTACAATATGGACTTAATCTTGGCAATGAAAACAATGCTATATGGGGTACAATATGCATTTGATATGGAATTTGGAACAACATTGGATCCAGCAATGATTTCTACTGGAATACAACAATCATGGTTTAAATGTTTTTATTTGATAAGATGTGAGATAAAAACATTTAACAGAGCAAAGAGAACAAAAATGAAAAACTGAAGAAAATAATGCACACAACTGAACTTTGGTTAGTAAAGCAGTTAAGTCTGGCTTCCTTGAAAAACAACACAGCCTCTTATTCAATACACATATCTGTTTTATTGAATTTACTTGTCTTTGACATGGATTTTAATTTGAAGTGATGCTGAAAATTTTACGTGAACTACAATGGAAATTAATGTTTCTTTATCAATTTAAGCATTAATTAAAATTTATCTTTTTTTTTTATTATTGCTCTCATACATATGATACAATTAAAGCAAAAACTAGGCAGCATTTGTCATCTAACATAATGGTTTGCTACATTCGTATTTGGCCATAATCATGCATATTTAAAACAAAAGGGGACAATCAATGCTAGTTTTTGAATATGCATAAGCTTTATCCATGCTGAAGCATATTCTTACCTATTAGATACAAAATATTGTATATCATCGGAATACAGACTTGCAGATAGTGGGTAAGAAGTCGATTTACTCAAATATGCCGAGTCATGGAGTGACCAATCATTTTCATAGTTTACCCTGTAAAGTTTACATATCTTATTGTAAATTACGAAGCAATTTTATACACAAGAGAAAATCAGAAAGTTCATAATTATTCTTCATGAAATTTTTACCAAAACTATTTGTGAGTAATAACATGACTTGACACAGGACTTGAATCCATAGTTTTAAGAACTATTTTAAATTCAGCAAGAAATGGTTGTTTGTTTAAGAGTGAACAAACAATATTAAGTGTATTTTTAAAATTACTGTGAACATTTCATTATTTAGCATAAAATCTTATATACATTTAATTTTGGTAGACGAAATGGCATCTTTGTGCTGGCAGTACAGACTTAAGTCAATATGCATTGACCAGACTTTATGTGCTATTGGCTACTTAATTTTGATATACTTTTATTGTGAAATCCCTAAAATTATCAATGGATTCAAAAATTTCAAATTTATTAGATTATTTTCTTATTTTGTATCATAAAAAAGCTACTATTGCTAACATTGCAAGTTATCATTAATCTATATAAAGAACAGAACATGTGAAAATGCAGTGCTGTGGTATCAAAACCTGCCCTCAGGTATCTCATACAAAAAAATTCCCTGCAATAAATTGTCTCAGCCAGAATCATTCCGAGACAGACTGAACAATTGTTTATAACTATCCCTGACAAATATACCTAACATTTATTATAGAAATAATCTGGCACCAGTCAAAACAGAAGCTGTTTATGCAAATCAAGTGTCAAAAAAGACAAATTTACAAGGAAATTTTTTGCAAATTCCAGACATCTTAGGTAACAGAAATAGCATTTTCGATACCTGTTGATAATTGTATCATATAAAATACCGCAAAAATCTAAATTAATTGTGGATTATGTTTTTATTTATTGCAATTATTTGTTTTAGGATATAAATATTTATGTAATAAAGTCAAAAGATGAGTACTTATGAAACAAAATCGTACTTTAAAGGGTAACTTATATGCGTGTTTCTAGGATGAAGTAAAAATAAGAGATATACAGATGTGCTTTTATATAAGCATCAACAATCTCTGGCCAAATTCTTAACATTGTTACTCATATGACATACAGAGTTCAATAAGTTCATATACTGGTCAAGGAAAGTTACATACATGTATTATACTAAAGAAACAATATTTTATGAAACAATGTAACAATGTAACACACACATTCAATTTTGATATTTTGTTGTAAGATGATCAACATTATTATATATTATACTTAATAACTACAATGAGCTCATAAAAACCTAAAATGTGTTCATTTCAGCATATCCGTTCTAGTGTAATTTCATAATTTTACTGCAAAGAAAAAAAAGTTGAATTTTATAAATCTTACTTTGGAATTTCTTGATCAGGATGTGTGTGTTCAATATCAAAGCCCATCCCTCGTAATCTATCAATCACGGTATTGTTGCCTAGAAAGTGTCCTGAAATATACAACAAAATATATAACTTAGAAAGTGTCCTGAAATGTAACAAAATATGTTAAACAAAATATATAAGTAACAAAATAGGTGACTGAGAACTTCATAATCAATCAAAGGGAGGTAACTCCTCTATCCATACTCAATGTAAGCAGAAAATGATTAAGATGTGGTGACTATAATAATCAAACAAAGATAATAATGTAAGCATGAAAAATGGTCCCAAATCAAATTTTTGTCATTAATTCTTTAGCATTTCAAGATTACAATGTTATTTCTAAACATAACTTGATGCAGATAAACAGTCATGCCTGTAGCCATAATTTAGTGAAATAATATCTATGTTTTTTGGTTATGGTTTGCTTTTATCTACATTCTGGATTTCAAAACCTTACTTTCTGTACAAAGTTTAAATTCTTGACCCTAGCAAACACTTTAATTACAACATTGACATTACGCATGTACACCAGCTTTTCTCTGATTTATATATCATTGTTATACATGTATTTTTATTTACATTTGTATAATTATGTGAAAAAAATGTCATTCATTACTAAGCTTTATCATTAGTGCCTATTCAAGAACCTCATTTCATTTTTTTTATGCCATAGTCATGTAAAAAATTATCTTAATTATTGAATCACTTCAGAATAAATTGAAATTGAATTTTAAAAAAAAAGACTCTTGATTTAACTAAACATATGTTTGCTTCAATGAGGGAAAGTTTCGGATAATAAATAATTGTTTCAATTTATTTCTACATTTTCCTCATCAATTTTCTGACAAGTAAAGATTGCTGTTTAATTCTAAATAGTAACGAAATATCAAACTGTTTCTATTTCGAAACATTCTTTCTTTGTGAAATCTGACTTTGAAAAATGAACATGGATATTCTCCAATTCGAAACACACAGGCATGCTGTGCCCGTAATGGTGTATGTCACTTACACATGCTCTAACATACATCATACGAAAATGTGTAATCCTAACAGTCAAACAGAATCTAACAATCAAACAGAAAAAAAACACATTCGTGCAATTACAAATTTACGATATTTAATTAACAAAAGGGTACAAATAGCTGAGTGTCAGAGGGGGATTTTTATGAGGGCGTTTTTTTCCCCTCGCCAATTATAAGGGTTTAGCTGACAATTAAGGGAAGAACGGAGGCAATATATAATGAACAAGAGAAGAATGCAGGCATGTTTTAATGAAAGGAAGAAGAAGCGGGACCAAATGTTTCCAATAATTAATGTCAACCTTCACTATTTTGGCAATAAATTCATTATAAAGAATTCACTTGTAATAATTTAGAGAGCTATAGAAACAAAGAAGAAATGTTCACAGTAAAGATTGATGAGCTTGCAATCTTGTTAACCGTTTTTGAAATGAAAGAAAATTAATCAGGGTAAAATAGTGGAGCAGATGTACAAAATTGAAATACCTTGCTTAGTCAGAAATTAGAAATACAGATAAGTTTGAACATAAAACTGTTCATAAAAACTAACTAAGTGAACGGTGATTCACGATGGATGATTAAAATCTCTTGAATTTTTTTTTTGCACCCCCTCTACATTTTATTATTATCTCTATCAATTAATGAAGTGAAATTTTCTTTTGGATTCATTCTAAGTTAAAAAAACATAAAAGTATAATTAAGTAAAAAAAACACTTTGACACTTAGAAAGTTCCTACCCTGATGCACTAAATTGATTGAGTAACAAAATAAAACTTGACTGTATGTACTGCAACACACTGAGCAAAAATGCTTTGTCAAAAGTATACATAACAGACTTGTCCTATTCAACAAATTTTGAATTGTCTACAGTAAGATTGCGGGATTTCAACCGTCCCATTACCATACTAAATTTCTCATATCATATTGTAGGACTGACTGAATAGAGAACTGAGTGCAAGCAGGGATGTTGCTTGGTAAACCAGAATTAATAAGGTTAATATTAAATAATAATAAATCCAATAAACCCATTAATAGTATAAAGCCTGGTAAATGTTATGTGCCAGATTGCCTTGTAAATGTTTAGGTATGTGCAAGATTGCCTGGTCAATGTTCAGGTATGTGCAAGATCACCTGATCAATGTGCAGGTATGTGCAACATAGCCTGGTCAATGTGCATGTATATGTGAGATTGCCTGGAAAATGTGCAGGTATGTGCGAGATTGCCTGGTAAATGTGCAGGTACCGGTATGTGCAAGATTGCCTGGTAGTAAATGTGCAGATATGTGCAAGATTTCCTGGTCAATGTTCAGGCATATGTGCGAGATTGCCTGGTCAATGTGCAGGTATGTGCTAAATTGCCTGTTTAATGTGCAGGTATGTGCAAGATCACCTGGTCAATGTGCAGGTATGTGTGAGATCACTTGGTCAATGTGCAGGTATGTGCAAGATCACCTGGTCAATGTGCAGGTATGTGCAAGATTGCCGGTCAATGTGCAGGTATGTGCGAGATTGCCTGGTAAATATGCAGGTATGTGCCAGATTGCCTGGTCAATGCGCAGGTATATGCAAGATCACCTGGTCAATGTGCAGATATGTGTGAGATTGCCTAGCTCTATATACGTCAAGCACAGCCAATTCCATCGTTGGATACTCACGGTTGATTTACAAGTAATCAAATAAATGTTAATGTTTCAGCCGTGGGTATCCGACGATGAGCTAACTCATTATTACCGCTAACATTCAAACGGTCTTAAATTGAATATGGAGTCTATAAAGAATGATTTCATTTTTCATGAATATCAATTTATATTTGAATTAACCCCTTGAGTAATTTTACGGTATTTTCAAAGTCTATTTTATGAGCATTATACAGCTTATGAAGTGACATATTATATGCATATTAAACAACCTTATTTTCATATTAAACTCAACTCAACTTGCTCTTCAGTAGAAGATGAATTTATGTGAATTACTTTTATCACAAGGTATATACAACAGTTAACTGTGTCAAAAGTTAAACAAGTGTATTTTTCTACTTGTCTTGAACTCTTCAGTAAAGAAAAACAGTTGTTATTTATTTCTCTATAAACAAGGTTTATTATTATGAACTTTGAATTTTTTAGTAAGCTATGCTTATAAGGAGATATTGTGACAATGTAAATGAAAGTGTCAATACAATGTTGCTTTAACTCTTAAAAGTTTGTTTACGGCAACAGTTAATACCCATGCTACCAGTGCAGACCAAGACCAGGCCGCACATCAGGTGCCTTCTGATATGGTCTTAACACTGTTCACTATTCAGTCAGTACAGTCATATATACATGTATGTATTTTGAAATTTTTCCTTGAAAAATAATGAATGGTTATTCCAAAAACATTCAGTCAGTACAGTTATATACATACATGTATATACCTTTTAAATTGTCCCTTAAAATGTTTTTTCCAAGGATAGACAAGTCCATTTAAAATATTTAATCAGGAAATTTCGGTTTTATATCTCATATTCTCCTGTTTGGTTTAAAACCGAATGAATACTTAAATAAGAGGAATAACAAATTTTGTTTTATGTCTAAAAGCTGTATAAATCATCCTATCTCCGTTTTGAAATTCACCAAGATTAGTGGACAGATCCAGTGATGAATACCAATTACAAAATTTAAAACAAACCACAGTGTGATCAAAGCTAACCCTGTAGCTACCAGAGTGACAATATGTCATTATCATCAAATAAAACAACATTAAATACTCATTTACAAATAGATATTTCTGCTGTTAAATTCAAATTAATGACATAAAAAACACCATTGGAATTTCATTAAAGTTTAATTGCACCCTTGTGGCTGTACTACAAGGTAAAATATCTTAAATCAACCTAAAGTGGCTGAATGCTTGAAAAGGTAAATAGCAAAATGTTTTCAGATTTTTCAATTTTTTTCCTTACATTAATTTACATAAACATCCTTTTTGGCTTCTAGTAATAATGATCGAGGTAGGTCCAATAAAAAAAAAAACATTGTTGCAAATTATCGTTAGTCCTCATATTGTAAAATTATTCAAAGTTTTAACTTTAAAGTTATGTCACTAAGTATTTGACAATTAAAATGAAACAGTAACATCAACAATAAAAGTTACTGTTTTGTATATAATAAATATAATGTATATAACTAACAGATTAAATTAATCAAATAACTAATTACAAATTCTAATGATAACAAAACTCAGGAAATTGAAAATTAAAAGCTGAAAGAACAAAAACAACTCATTCCTGGCAAACAAACTAAATCTTTTGTAATATTTTTATAACAAGTGTTATCAATATATTATCATAATAATATAAAAGTGTTGCAATTTTGTTGCAGATTTAACTTAATATTGTTTATCATGTAAATCATCACTGAATCACATTCTAGAGCATCCATGTTTTTTATCATTGGCAACATGATTTTCACATTAAGTATAATAATGCTTCAATAGTCTTATATCAAATATTAATAAAACAGTAAGACCACTTGAAAATTGCATTAAGTCTGCATTACTGGATACGAGTAGGAAAAAGTGGCAATTCACATGTTTAAATAAAATCTGCTACAACCTTGCCTTAGGGTTGATAAAATGTAAGAAAGACATGCTTTAGATTCTCATAAAACTAAGCGAAACTGATTAAGAAAATATACAACATTATTTTCTGGCTCAACATTTTAATTGTAAACATTTTTCTTTTCTTCGGCACGGAACAGAGAAAAGAGCTTTGCTGAAATAAAGTCTCTCACAAATAATATTGTTAGTTTATAATAAGCTGGAAATAATAGAAATAACGTAAAATTTGAAAAAATAATTCATTTAATTAAAACACTGAATATTTTAATAATTATATTTTGTTGTACTCACTATCTTACAAAAACTTTTTGTTTAAACAAAAACACTGTAGATCATATATCAACACTTTAATGTTGTGATATAAAAAAGCAGGATATAATCTTCAATTTAAAATACAAAGCATGTAACTGTAAACTTAAATTAAATACTTCAAAAGAAGAAGTGCATGG